AATGAATGTGAGAGTGGTCTTGTGTGCATGTGTTGCACTCAACTTCCAAGGCATCAACACACAGTTGAGAGAATCTAACTATTTAAGCATTATAAAGCGAAACTCAGCCTGAAATTGAGAGGCAGAGAATGTTTTAATTTGTTAACGTATAAGCTTAATCAAGTTCTGGCAATTTCCAGATTTTGATCACGAATCATATATAACTCTATATTTTGATCAGTGCAGCAACCTCGAAAGCCCTCTAAAACATGGAGTAATGTAGAAGAAGAGGAAGTGACAGCAGTAAGCACAAAATAGAGATCTGAAAACCAAAACAAATTTTATGGATTAAAACAAATTTTAAGAGTTTAACTTTCATTTTTTTTTTTTATTTAGCATGGAAAGGTTAACGTGCTATTAGTTTAGTTGTAACAACTTTAAGTAATGTTTTTTCCTTTTCCCCTTTGATTTTGGCCATGATTTCCATAGCGATACCTAAAAAATTCTACAGAAAACAAGAAGTTTCTAGGCTTCTATTCATATCTTTGAATTTGACATGTTTTATATAATTCAGTTTTGATTTTTTTTTTAACTCTTATTTTGATAATTTAATAGAAAATAATTTTTCAATCATACTCTTCAATTTTACATACTAATAGTTAAATCAACCTTGTTTCAGATATAAAGGATGTTCTATTCATTCATAATTTGATTTATTTTTTGATATTATTTCAATATAAATTTTTTAATATGTTGTAAATATAGATATTCATATCTTTGAATTTGACATGTTTTATATAATTCAGTTTTGATTTTTTTTTTTAACTCTTATTTTGATAATTTAATAGAAAATAATTTTTCAATCATACTCTTCAATTTTACATACTAATAGTTAAATCAACCTTGTTTCAGATATAAAGGATGTTCTATTCATTCATAATTTGATTTATTTTTTGATATTATTTCAATATAAATTTTTTAATATGTTGTAAATATAGATGTACTTAAATTATGTGTCAAATTTTATAATTTTTTGAAATCATTTGGGCTTTCGTTTAAATTTTATTTAGTACATACTACATAATTAAGTTTTGCATGAAAAAATAGATTTGGGAAATTTTTTGACATTATTTTAATATAAATTTTTATTATTTTGTAAATATATATTTCTTTTAATCATGCTTAAAATTTCACAATTTTTTAACGTCATTTTGGTACTTATTTAATTTTTTAAAATTTATTAAATCAATATTGTTTTAGAAACAAGGTTGTTATTATTCATTTATGATTTGGTTAAGTTTTTAGTGTGATTTTAATCTTAATTTTATTATATTGTAAATAAATATGTATTTCAATTATATTTCAAATTTGATAATTTTCTAAAATTGTTTGAAAAATTATTTAAATTTTCTTAGTTTACACCACGTCTTTTATTCGTTTGCGCCAACAATAAACTTGATTAAGAATTTTCCCCTACAAAAATATTATTTATTCTTAATTTTAAGGTTGGATGACATCTTAATAAAATCTAATATTAAATTTTATTGCTTTTGATCATTTTTATTTCACTAATATGTTCCCGCCATGAAAGTCGTGTCAGGATTATAATTGGATTTAACGTTAAATTGTTATGATTTTTTTTATTTCAGGATTCAATGGTAATTAATATGATTCCACCTCAAAATCTTCATCTATTTAATCCACATATATTTTTTTGACATGATACTCGATGTTAGGATTATATGAGATTCAATGTTAAATTGATAAGATTTTTAATTTCAAGATCTAATGACAATTTAATACGATTCTATAACAACTAACAATTAATTAAAATATCAAGAATAACCACATAAATAAATATAAAAAATTATGACACGATTCCACTAAGGAGCCAGAGTGAAGTCATAAACTTATTTGTTTTCTTAAGTCTTATTTTTTAAAAAAATTATTCTTGCCATTTTTTTTTAAATTATTATCAAGTATTTTATTTATTTATTTTCAAGTCATTTAATTTTTCAATTATTTCATTTATTGTTTATAAACTGGACTGGATATGTATGCTTACTTTCGAAGCTTCACATGCCTCACTAAAAAGCCAACACAAAAGAGCTCTGGACTCGAGACTTGTCACTTTAGGATTAGACAGAGACATTCAGAAAATGAGTGTGATGCAAGTTCATTGATGGTTATTTAGACTTCTGCTCAAATTAGAACTTGCTTATCTATAAAAGATTGTAGAATACTTTTCTCATACCTTACATTATATAAGATTAGAGGTTACTTCAAACGAAAAAAAAAAAAAAAAACAAACTGTTAGGATTAAACAAGTTGTGTCAAGTCCTATAAAAAGCTAGATCTTGTCCGTTAAGTTTAAACCCTTACAAGATATGAATCATACGAGGTTACGTTGCTTGTTTTAAACCCTTACATTTTTTCACTAATTCTTTTTGAAATAGTGAACCATGTCAGAAAGAGTTCAAAATAACTTTATCAAAAAGAATTTTAGAATTGGGCCAGAATAAGCTTGGTATGAGAAAAGGAAATGCCTACCTTAGTTAGAGAAAGAAGAAACTAGAAAGTGATTCATTGTCATGTCGATTTCTAATCTTGTTCAAACACAAATTAGATAAATTTATGATACTTTACCTTCTAGGATAAATGAAAAGACTCTTCATCACATTTAAAATTGCTTGATATCTATGAATGCTATGACATTCTTCTTACACCTGATTTTATAATTGATTTGGATGCATCTCTAGTAAAAATTTATTTCTCTTCCAAACTTTTGACATGTCAAGGGCAGGCATATTCTCCTAACTTGCCTGAAATCTCTATAGAGTTGGACTCTCAATGAGAATTTAAAATATTTCCTGACTTGTCCTAATCTGAATCACAATTCTTGACTTCATTTGGAGCTGTGCATGTGTATCCAATTTGGTTTATCATGTGAGTGTTGTAAAATTCATTATATATATTGTTTGGTAAAAAAAAAAAAAAAGTAAGAAAATATAAGTCGCTCGAGTGAAGCTCAACTCTCTCCTAGAAGATATAACACCAGAATATAACAGTCCGAGAGAGAGAGCCTGGCTAGGATAGTCTCATAAAAAAGAAATTGACGCTATGAATGGCGAAGTCACTCAGCTCACTAGTTTGCTTGAACGAGCAAACAAACTTTATAAACACTCCTTTCGGGGTAAGTCACCTCAAGTAGAGGGCAAGCCTAGGTGGAGATTCCATCCTCTACTCCCTTAACAAATTTTCAAGTGCTGTTATGACCATATTCGATCTTGCTAGCCAACTAAAGCCAAAGGCCATCGATTTTTTTATCTAGAAGCCTAATTTCTTACCGTATGGTTCTCGATATTGACACAAATCCCACGCATTATTTGCCTCACATCTTAGGATGATCAAAAATTCAACTCTATAGCAATCTTTCCTATCTTTTCTTCTCTTCCGTCAGGAAAAATTAGAGGGTTACTCGCACTATGCTGCTAGCAAAATTATTAAAAAATTTATAATGTATTTTTATGCTTTCATTAAGTTTTTTACTTTAAAAATATGATTTATAGTTATTTATGCATTTGTTTAAATAAAACATTGCAATAATTTAAAATGGAGTATTAATCAATAATAATAAAAAAAATACTTCAAAAATATATTTTTCATAAAAATGCATAAAAAAAATAAAAATAAAGTTACGATCAATGTATAAACTTTATAAAAATTAACTAATAAGAAAACCAATATTATTTAATGTTGATTATAAGGTTTTTTCAAAAGTATATGCAATTAATCTATATATGTTTGTTTACAAAATAATGAATAATATTAGCATAAAAAACTATATTTGAATGATTAGTATTTTTTAATTATTCTAGTCAAAAAAGTGATTCTATAATGTTTAAAAAAATTCATAGCAAGTAGTTGGTGTTATATATGAAGATGTGTAATTAATTTTTAATAAAATCAATAATTTAATATTTTTTTATATGACTTGACCATACCTAGGATTACGACAAATTATTTGAAATATACTTTTAACTCGTTTAGATTAAAATAAAATATAATTTTCACACTTTATTTATTTTTAATTAATAAAATAACATATTTGAAATTATTATTGTGTGAATAATAAAAATTATATTTTTAGTTTATACACTTTATTTATTTGTAATTAATATTGTGTGAATAACGAGTATTGAGCCATTGACATAATTTTTCTCTCAAATCCAATTGTTCAAACAATGAAGCAATCATAGATGATCCATTTTTTTAAGAATGTCATGAATTTAAAACAGACTTGGTCTAATGAGATACCATATAAATTATAAGATACATAACCATATATTTGCTAACTTTATGAATAGTAATATTGTCCCTAACCACATACTTGTGAACCATAATATTTTTTTTATCAATTTTTTTCATGATAAATATAAATTTTAACTTTTTTCTATTTGTAATCAAAATGATTAAATAATTTTTTTAGAAAAAGGATCAATTAATTTTTTTTTCAAATTAAAGGGACTAATACATAATTTACTCTTAATTATTTCTGTTTTGGATGCAGCGTATTCAAAGGCCTGCAAATCAGGCTTTACTGTTAGTTCAATCTTGGGTGCAACGTATTCAAAGGCATGAGCTTTAATCAAGTAAATTATATATTTGTCCCTTTAGTTTTTATAAATAATTTAATTAGTTAATTTTGTTTCAAAAATTGATTATTTAAACTTTTAATTAATTTTGAAATATTAATCATATTTAATGTAATATATTTTATTCTATAAAATATTTTTTTCATCTCTTTTTATGATATAAATTTATTTATTTATCTTTTTCTATTTTTTAAAATAAAAAATTAGAAAATAACATAAAAGGACAAAAATAACTAAATAATTATTTTTTGAAATAAAAGGACTAACTATTTTATTATTCCAAAATAAAGGGATTGATTTATAATTTATTAAACTAAAGCCTTCAAGTGGAGGTTTTGATTCTTATTCTCTGTGAGATTTGAATCTTCACATAGGGGTGTGGCGCTCAAGGCTCTGCATCCGCCTTCCTGGCTGAATTTTAGCCATTAAATGGTTGAATTTCAAGGTTTTTTTTAAATAATCATTGATCTTAAAAAAAAAAAAGATTTTATAGATAAAAAATTAGTACAAAAAACACAAAATTAAAAAATTACAGTAATAGATGATTCTAAAAAGCCTATATGTGATTATCAAATATCAACAGAAGTTGGGCCCTCCTGCATAACCTCTTGTTTGGATAGGGAGGAAAGTGGGGGAGAGGAAAGAAAATAGGATGAAAAGGAAAGTTTTTCTTTGTTTGGTTTGCAGAGAAAAGCTATGGAAAGAAAAAAAAATATTAAACAAATCTATAAGTGATGGGATCATTTTTCTCCCAAAATTGAGAGGAAACCGGGAGAAAACGCAAAAGAAATCATCAAAATATTTGGAGTCACATTTTTGCCCTCATCTACCTCTGCCTTAGTCATTCCTCTCCTTTGCAGTAACAAAAGAGATTTGCAAAATAGATCTGCCTCAGCCTTGACCCTCACAACACCCTTCTCTTTAACCTCAAGCCCACTTTCATTTTCACTCCTTATCACATAATCAACAAAGATTGTACTAGCTTTGAGGTCGGATTTTAGGGACAGCAGAAGACACGGAGGAGATCTAAAGGGGATCCAACGACAAGGATAGCAGTAGCTATGCTTCATCAGATTCCGGTTGTCTCCAATTTAATAGCCACCGGTTTATCCGCTACTATTGCTCTCTCTGTCCTTCATTTCTTTGAAGAAACTGCTAAACAACATGTCTTCGACCAGGTCTCTCCCTCCCTCAATTTCCTCCCCCCCCCCCCCCCCTCGCGCATAATTTTTTGGACATTTTTATAAAGCTTAAAACTACATGCACTACCTTTTCTTGTCCTTTGATTCATAGGTCTTTGCAATTTTATTGTTTTTTAGATGGGTTTTTCTTGTTTCTCTTTGGTTCTCAATTTCAGGGTGAATTTTTTAAGTGCTTGGTTTGTTATGATTAATCAATGGCTATTGTGTTTTTGGTGTACTTGGGTTGTTAATTTGCACACGTCTTGTATACTTTGGTTTTAATTTACTGCTATTTAATTTCCCTTTTCAGGTACTATTCTTTAATTTTTTGATTTTTGGTAATGGGTTTTGTATCTTATGATTGAATATTGGCATAGGATTGTAAGCTAAATGGGAAAGGACTCGAAGGCAAAAGACGCTGGAGCAAAAGGAAAGGGTAAGGGAAAGCAGGCAGGGGGAAGTGATGAAAATGGTTCTAAGGGAAAAGGAAAATCTGGAAAGGCTTCAGATGGGCTTGGCACTTGCACTTAGTCAAAGGTTTTTGTTTTATACTCCACTACTTTTTTTTGGGGGGGGGGGGGGGGGGGGGGGGGGGGGTTTAAGAGTGAATAATGATATTTTACAACCCTTGTGGAAGTGAAACTTAAGAAAAATCCCATGAGAACACGAAGTTCCATTTTAGTTTTGCTTGTAAACTTACATAGAATTGGCTAGGTGCAGCTTGCATATATAGCCTTTTGGACCCAATAGAACTTTAATGAGTAAAACTGTCCACTCCTTTCATTGCTAGCTTAGAAGAGATATGATGATCCTGTTTTTAGCGCGATGGATGGAGAATATTAAAAACTGCCAAATGAAATAACTAGTTATGAATGGTGCTCATTTCTTAGGCATGGCATAGTTGGGGTTTTTCTGCAACGTTATTTATGAGTTGAATAGATCCGACAAGATTATAAATGATTTTGGGATAATGCAGAGGACCATATACATTTATTAGGCCTTATTTTGCAGATAATGGGTGTAGAAATTTAGTTGTTTCCTTTCCTTTTCTTTTTTTTCCTTTTTATGAGCGTAAAATTTTGTTAGGTTCAGCATAATTGGGTCTTGTATAAAGTTAGACGATTAGCCGAATCCACCCTAACAAATATGCCACCAGCAACTCCATCAAGCTACCCTTACTATTCATTTGTTGAAGATTGAAAGGATCTCATTTATCAAAGAAAAAAAATTCAGCAAGATGATATCCAACTATTCATGAAATTTGGAGAAATAACTTGAAATATTAGTGGTTTTTTTTTTTGCCTACACCATTTAGACACAAAAACTTTGTTTGAGAATTCTGTCCCATTAAATGATTTATAGGAGCAAATCAAGTCCTATAAATCCTTTTGGGGTGTGAAATTTGTAGGACAAAAGGTGAAGAAATGTTGTGAGCAGTTAATGTGGTTAGAATAATAACGCGAGAAAAGGAGCTTAACAGATGGATGGTAAAAACAGGGATCAAAAGATTTTAATCATGGGATAGGTCTCTTGAAAGAAAGACTCTCAATTCCATGTTTGATGTGAAATTTATAAACGAATCAAAAAATCCCTATATTAAGTATCAACTTGTTTACGCTTTCTTTGTCAAAAAATGGTTAAAAAATTGAAACTCTCTAACTCTTAGAATCTTGCACTGACTCTTTCAAGTGACATTCTCCCCTCATGTACTTGTGCTCACAAATAAGCCTTCACACCTAGAGTGTCGTTTATGGATGATTTCTATAAGTTACAAGTTGGAAGAGGAAAATACAAGATATGATGTTAGTTCATTGTTAGACAAAAAGATATGGAGATAACTTGATTGGAAAAAACAAGAAAAGCATACAAGTTGAGAAAGGCAAACCAAGTCTATGAGGTAATCATTTGCTCCCACAAGGAGGTGGTGAACACCTTTCTAACTGCTCACTGGTGTTGTGAAGGAGAGGGCTGAGCATCTATCCCTAGTTTAGATAATGGTGTGCAATTACAGTTTTAAAAAATGACTTGTTATGCAGAATTGGTGTAGTTGTTATACTCGTTTTTTAGAAAGAAAAACGATGTTATCTTTTATTGATATTTGTATTTCAATCTTCGATCAGGTTTAATTGAAACATAAACCAAAAAAATTTGAAAGGAAAAATAAATTTTTGAGACAAGAAAATTTCTAAAAAAAAAAAAAATGATGCTATAGATATGGAAGAGAAAGACTAGTATAAGTACTTAAATATAGAAATATAATTATAGGGGTATTATAGTAAATATACAATAATACATTCTTCAACCCTTTCACATTTTTTGATATGGAACTTGGGAGAACCAACACCTCCCTCAAAGCACCAAAATTAGCTCTCAAAAAGCTATAAACAAGCCCCAAAACACAAAAAAAAAAAAAAAAAAAGCTTCAAAACAGACCTAACACCTACCCAAAGCCCCCAAACTCGACCCGAAACCGTTACCAACAGCCCCCTAATACCCTTACAGAGCAACTCTTTTGAAAATGCCATTTGAACCACCAAAGAAACTCCAAAAACACCTCCAAACCAGCTTCAAAACCACCTAAAAACCCTAAAAAAATAGGCCTAAAATCAACCTCAAAATAGACCCAACATCTACCCAAAAGCCCCCAAACTCAGCCACGAAACTGTTACCAACAGCCCCCTAAAACCCTTACAGAGAAACTCCTTTGGAAAGGCCATTTGAACCACCAAAGAAGCTCCAAAAACACCCCCAAACCAGCTTCAAAACCACCCAAAAACAACCCAACAAACCCTCAAAAAATAGGCCTAAAACCAACCCTAAAACAGACCCAACACCTACCCAAAAGCCTCCAAACTCAGCTCGAAACTGTTATCAACAGCCCTCCAAAACCCTTACAGAGCAAGTCCTTTGGAAAGGCCATTTGAACCACCAAATAAGCTCCAAAAACGCCCCTAAACCAGATTCAAAACCACCAAAAAACTGACCAAAATAGACACAAAATATCCCTCAAAACAGCCCCTCGAACACTTTTTGGAGTTACTGCAAAAGAAGAAATAAAAATTATTTGTGATTTATCTCATTTTTTGTGATTCAATTGACTTTCCATGATTGTTCGCTATGTTAAAATATCCTCTCTCTTTTTTAATTGCTAAATAGTAATTTTTTATTCTAAAAAAAAAAAAAGCAAAGAAAATGATGGGTAGAAGCAACTAACTTATTATATGCATAGATAATAATACATGTTATACATATTTAAATTAATTTTATATTGATAATTAATCTAAATTGGCTAGTGAATTAATTAATTAATTAATAGTTATCGATTATTCTATGGAGACGATTCATTATTTATCTTATCATTTCGGATAGATGCTACATGCTAGATTTTTATTTTATTATCATTTGTGTTATTTTAATGAAAAAAATATTCGTATAAATTTATTATAAGTATTTAAATATAAAAATATAATCCTAAGAGAATTATAGTAAATATACAATAATACATTTTCTTTCCTCTTTTTTTACAATTATCCAAACAAGGAAAATGTATTTTCTTTCCACTCTTATTCAAACAACAAGTGAAAAATGATTTTCTTTCCTTCCCCTTTTCTTTCCTCTCTTTTCTTTCCTCCCAAGAGGAATTATCCAAACAAGGGGTAAATGTTAAAAGAGAAATAATCATTACAAGAGAAATGACGACTGCAATTGTAGTGAATATTTGAAATCCGAGCCTAGTGCTTTGAGAGAATTAGTCTTGTTTACGAAAAAATTGATAACATCAACTTTTAAAAGCCTCAAACCATAGGAATATATGATAAATAAACTCTCTATTTTATGGCTCCCATGTCTAACCAAAATAATAATAATAATAATAATAAAGAACTTACATTTTATTTATTTATTTTTCCTTAATATTGTTTATTTCTTTCACAAACCTATATATTATTATTTATGGGTGTAAATATTTAATATTTTCATTGTTGTCATTAGTTTCAATTGATTAATCCATGATATGAAAAATTATATATTTTTTTAAATTAAAATACACACATTTTCTACTCTTTGTGACTGTTATCTTCTAGATTATTCCTCATTGTTGTCATCAGAAACTCTCAGTTTATTCTTTAAAATACACACATTTTCATGTCTTTATATATATATATATATATATATATATATATATATATTTCTTTAAAGAGAGGGTTATGAATTTGAGACAATAACCCATATAAAACTGGATGTTGTTACATCTATTAGATAAACGGTAGATCCACCACAAATTTGAGAAAATTATTCTTAGTCTGCAAGCCACATTTTCAATTGTTCAAAAAAAATTATATTGTTTGATATGGAAACGACACAAATTTCAATCAAATAAAACATAAAATCAAACAATAACAGTTTCAATAAAATGACAACACATGAATTAAGAGGAGGATTAAAGCTAAAATAAACCATCAAATTCATTCATAACAATACTGAAATTCATAATCAGTTGTTCACCACCAACCACATGACAAAAACCTCATTCATTTAATGTCTAGAATATTTATATTACTCAATAAAACTTTAAATAAATCTCAAAACCATACCAAACTCCTTGCTCCATGTCACTCCTTAAATCTTGAGTCCATATCCAAAAAAGAGTCGTAGTGGCTGCAACTCAAACGAAGCCCAAGGAAGGACAGATACCACTAGCAACAAGGGTTGATGTAGGAGCTAGAACAGAGAATATAGCAATGGCCAAACCCAAAATGACAGTGATAGTTGCTTTTGAGAGCATCCTTTGTTTATAGGATTTTCAAAAATTAGAAATGAGAGAAGGTGAGAGAAATTAAAATGCAAGAGCTTTGTAATTTGTGAGGTGAACTGAAATGCTGAAACAAGAAGGGTGTTTATATAGGCATGGGAGAGAGAAGGCTCTGGGTAGTTAGGGCAGCCAAAGTTGGTCGAATTTATAGGTTGGCATTGATTAGTTTAGTGATAGCTTAAAAATTATTGCATGATCCAACGGTCAGGACACAATAAAAGAGATGCATAATGCATTTGTCTCTTAGTCTATAGTAAACTTGAGTGTAGATGAGCAGTAAATAAATAGTAAATAGTTCAGATATTTTAGTTTTTTTTTTCAATAGCTTCATCCCTTACCTCAAAAGCATGCTCCAAAATAGCCTCTAACTCATTTAACTTCTCATTCAAATAGGTCACCTCCTTTGAGCATCTCACCAATTCCCCTATAAGGTCCTTTATTAACTCATAGAGCTTTTCAGCTTATTATCTCTTTGCCAGCCAGCGATGAATGTTATAGGTTTGACTCTGGATGATCTATAAGCATAATAACAGAAAGGTCGAAACTACATCACATAAACAAAACGATAGGAACACAAGTCTATACTCACCTTGACCGTAAGAAAAATAAGTTGTTTTATATTACTAGATAGGGAAAAGATATCCTAGTCATACAAGTCTATGGGAAATTGAGTCAAGCATCCCAACAATTGACCATACCTAAACCTATTTTCACTATAAGGAGTAGCCTTACCACTAAAAAGAGAAGGCCATAACTTTTATTGCTTGTTCAAAAATGGTATGAGATTGCTGGGTGTAAAATCCATGGAAAAGGGAGTAAAACCTACTCTCAAAAAATCAAAATAGGCTATTGTATTTCCTTTCTCCTTTACACTTTTATCACCAAAAGGATCAATCCTTCTCACCTTGACTGGTAGAGGAAGGATTGAACATCCTCTCCTAGAAGCAGAGGACTCCGTAAATAGACAAGTAGCAATAGATGAAGCCCTATTAGCTTTACCTTTTATCTGATATGATCCTCCACTAAAATAGGCAACCTCTTTATCCTTCTCCGTTGCTCTAGCATATTCCTACTTCCGCAACGTCTCAAAGAATGTCAAGGATAATGAGCATTATTGATTTTATTCATTATATTATATTTAGGATTATATGTATTGAATAATTTTTATTTTATGATTTAGGATAAGATTGGAGGTAAAGGAACAAAAGTGAGATAATTAAGAAGATTGGAGGTGAAGGAACAAAAGTGAGCTATTAAGGCGAAATTTCAATGTTGGTAGATTGACTTTTAGAGGAAGAGATGATAATTTCACATATTTAGAGATTTAGAGCATGAAAAAATTTTAAAGTAGATATATTATTTTTTACATATTGGTTTTAAATCATAAATCCAATTTTTTTGGACTATCAAAGTGGATTGTAAAATCGAAGTCGAGAATTCGAGATCTCATGACAATTCAAAGCACTAATTATTGTTTGGATCATATCTAGAGTTATATACATTGTAATATGATTATTAAAAATTAGAAAGAAATAAGACATCTAACCTAAAACCTTTATAAAGAGCCTAAATCCGTAATATGCATCCATCCGATCCGAAATTAGTTCGAAGTTACGGTACAAAACTTGAAGTCAAGCTCTAATTAATTTAAAAAATAATCCTAAATAAGATTTATGAAAAGTCATATCTATCTATAAACATGTGTAAATAGCCTCTAGAGTTACACATTCAAAACACATTGGGTTAAATAGAACTTTTTTATTTTTTGTATTTTTTACTTTGAAGATGCAAGGCTAATTTTTTTCTTTTTGGTTCAAGAAAAATGTGAAATTCAAAGAACAAGTTGTGAGACTCTTGATTTGATTTGATAATTTATTTAGCTTTACTATCTTTTATCCTTCGAATTACTTGAATAATATTCTTATTCTTAATTTCTTAAGAGATCTATTAGGTAATTATGATCGATAAATAATTTTTAGATTAGGATTTATGATATGTAAATATTAATTTCTACTATTTATATCATTATGAGCCTAGAGGAAAAAGTACAAATTAAACCAATTAAGTTTGTGTGTTGATTATCTATTTTGAATATTTTTTAATTCGCTAATGATATTATTGAATTACACATAAAGCGTTTGTTCTATATGGTTCAATAATAATGATTCAAATTATATGCTATCATATTTGATGATTAAGAAAGAAGAACAAAGTTCATCTATGCTTTTAGATTAATATTGACGGAATGGTAAATCATGAGTGGTATCTTTAACTATCTTCAATGATCAGCTTGTAAAGTAAAGGTTGTTAAAACCTAATTTTTACCCTACTTAATCTTTTAATTTTTGGTGAGAAATAAAAAAAAAAAAAGAAGAAAGATAAGGAAACAAAATAAAGAAATAAAAATAATTTAAAGGGTGTAATTAAAAGAAAATGGCTTGATTAACTTCAATTAGAGGTTTGATTGAAGAAAAATAAAAAAGATGTAAACCGAAATTAAAAAAGATAGAAGAAACAATGGCCAAAATTGATGTTTTCCCAAATCCTAATTAATTCTCCCTATAAATATCCCTCTTCTCCCTAATTTTATACTAGTTACTATTCATTACCCTCTTCAAAGATAAAAAAAAAATACAACACCATAACCCACCCCTTCCTCCTTCATCCTCTCCGATTAAAGCTACACACAAGCTACAACCTTCATCCTCTCTACCCAAAACACAACTATTATTCACAAGCACTATCCATCATCTCTAAGAAAAGAGGAGGTTATTTTTCATCTTTTTGAAAAACAAGAGAGAAATCTAATAGCCATAATATCGGTATTCCTCCCCGTTATCGAACTTTCATCAAAACAACCCACACCTAAAACATGAACCACCCGAACCATTACCATGTGAAAATTATGTCCCTTGCCTAAAAACAAAAGAAAAAGGAATAGCCAAACTGTAGATTCTGTGTCCTTTTTTTTTGTTCACCATTGACCACCACATCGTTTGTAAAACTCCAACGACCATCCAATGTCATCACCAAACACCACTAGTTTTTTTTATGCTAACCAACACCCTTTTCATCCAAGCAATCTCCTTTCTTTTACCATAAAAAAACCTTATAGTAACTTCATTGACCTCCACTCAATGTCGATCGTGGCTAGTCTTGCCTCCATCCATCGTCGATCATGGTCATTCATGTCTCTAGTTTTTTTCTCTAACTCTATTTGATAGTTCATTCTAGCCACTAGCAATCCCTAAAGTTTAAGAACTACTTGCTAACTCTTTACGATCTATCGTCAACATCCAACAACCTTCGATAGTAGTTTTTTCTATTTAAGTGGGACCCACGACATCGTTTACAATGGGAAACCACCCTCCTTCCTCTACTAATTGAATAATCAATTTTTATCAAGGTCGAAGAGAGTCGAATTGACCCCAAATACCATTTTTAATGATTTCTCGCACCTTCGCATATATTTTAGGCAAATAATAAAAAATCATCGTACCGTTTTTATTTTTGATAAATTATTATAAATAATATTTTATTATTATTTGATTGAATATTATTAAAAAACATGTTTGGTTGTGTTTGGAATATTTAAAGAGTGTAGATACACCATTATTTATCGAACCCCAAAAGGTTCGGATACCTTAGGTATTTTAAGGTGAAATAAGGTTGATTGATCAATGCTTTATGACAGAGCTAGAAGGATGATCTTGGGTTTTAATTTCAATAATTTATCCAAGATGAGTGTCGATTCTAGTGTTCATACTTAAAAATCAATATTGTATTTGTGTTGAATGATATAATTAATCTAATGTGTTGAGTGCATGTAGAATTAATAGAAATATGTTCTATTATATACAATTGTGATATTACAATATCTTTTATAGGAAGACTATACAAGAATAGGAAATTAACTACTTACATTCTAATTTCCCTAATTTAGATCATTGACCAAATCTATATTTATAGCTCTTAATTATATGTTAAAAATAAGAAACTAAATCAAATCAAATCAGATTTAATTAAATGAAATCTTTGACATTCTCAACACTCCCCCTTATATTGGTTTGAAGATGTCTTCCAACGCTAGTTTGCCAATCAACTTGTTAAAATATTTATTTGGTAACCCTTTAGTAGGTATATCCGTGACCTGCTTCTACTATAGGAACATATGGCATATAGATTAATCCATTCTCAATTTTTTCTTTCATGAAGTGTTTAACTTTCATATGCTTTGTTCTATCATGAAGGACTAGATTATGAGCAATGAAATTATTGCCTTTTTGTCATAATAAACCTTCATTGGTGAAGGATTTGAAACCTTCAATTCTTCGAGTAGTCTCTTCATTAAAAGTACTTCATATATCTCATGTGCTATTGATCTAAACTTTCCTTCTATACTACTTCTAGTAACTACACTTTGTTTCTTGCTACACCAAGTAACTAGTTTGCCTCCAATAAATATGTAGTAGCCAAAAGTTGATCTTTTATCCGTGGCATCTTCTATTCAATCATCATTAGGGTGTACTTCAAGTTATAGATATCCATTTTTCTTTTATATCGAGTGTAACCTCCGCGAAAATCTTTAATGAGACATATATATATGTCGAAATATTCATGTAAATATACATTGAGTATGAGTGCAATTGTAGATGTCATTTTAATTATTTGGTGATGATGATTATTTAGCACTTATGTGGAAATTTTGGGGCACTTATGTGAGAATTTTGAGGTGAAATTTCAAATAAATTAATTAATTACCACTCATTATATATTAAGTAGTTGGGACATATTATACAAGTGAAATAGGGGTGTGTATAAAATTTTGGGAATGTAGGAATATTTTCCTTGGAAATATCAAAATAAAAAAGAAAGGAAATTTTTGAAATTTTATGAGGGAAAATATGTTAGTTACTTGAAACTAAGTTAGTTAGGGTATTTAGTTAGTCTAATTCCTTAGTTAGAACACCTAAGTACCTTAATTAAATGCATGGAAGCCAACTCATCACCTTTGACTTCCAAAAACGCCACCTTACCTTCCAAGCCTTCCTTTGCTTTATACTTGGCCAAATTGATTTAGAACATGTGACATAAGTAATAAGGAAGGCAAATGGAGTATATATATAAGGAAAAGATGAAACTTAGTGATTTTTTAGGAGTGAAACCGTAGCTCATCCAAAGGAAGAGAAAGATGCCATTGAGAGGGAGAGAAACAAGGTAAAGAAAGAGAGAAAAGAGAGCAAAGAAAGAGAGAAGGGAAAAGAAAAGAAAAAGGAAGAAAAGCTAAGAAAACCTAACCTCATCCAAACTAGGTAAGTAGGTTTTCTTTAGTGCTTTATGCCATGTAATTGATACTATTGTAATTGATTAAGTTTGTGCTTATGTTGCGATGTGTTTGTTGGGTTGATTTTGTTAGCTAGGTTATTCTATGATTGGTAATTGTTATGATTTGATAGTTAGTTGTGTGATTAATTATTAGGTTTTAAAAGTTTTTGTATCTAGTTAGATTCATGTATGGATAGGTGTGGCTAATGGATTTGGTTGATCAAAACATGGTGAGTGAATTTAAGATTGATATGGACTTAGACAAGGGAAAATAGGGAGGAAGAAAAATGGAATGTTAGGGTTTTTCTTGAGCAAACATTCGACCGAGAGAGTTACATGGCCTCGCTACATGGGTGTGTCTTTGCCCGTATAATGAAGAAATTTGCCCGTGTAATTAAGAAATGTCTTTTTCTTGAAGTCGGAGATTTACACGGTCTCCCACACGGGCGTGTCTTTGCTCATGTAATGAAGAAATGTCTTTTTCTTGAAGTCGGAGAGTTACATGGCCTCCCACATGGGCATGTCTTTGCTCGTGTAAAGAAGAAATGTCTTTTTCTTAAAGTCGAGAGTTACAAGGTCTTCCCCACGGGCGTGTCTTTGCTCGTGTAATGAAAAGATGTATTTTTCTTAAAGTCGGAGAGTTATACGACATCTCACACGGGCATGTCTTTTTCGTGTAATGAAGAAATGTATTTTCTTAAAGTTAGAGAGTTACACGGCCTCTCACACGGGCGTGTATTTGCC